AGGGCGTTATACACTACCTACGTAAGGCCAGTCTTAGAGTATGCTGCCCCATCATGGAGTCCCTACCTGAAGAAACACACAAGAAAACTGGAAAAGGTTCAGAAGTTTGCAACAAGACTCGTCCCAGAGTTGCGAGGGATGGGGTATGAAGAGCGCCTGAAGGAACTGAGCCTTACGACACTAGAAAAAAAGAAGGGAGAGAGGGGGATATGATAGGAACGTATAAGATACTCAGGGGGATTGACAGAGTGGACATAGACGAAATGTTCACACGGAATACTAACAGAACGAAGGGACATGGGTGGAAGCTGGAAACTCAGAGGAGTCACAGAGACGTTAGGAAGTTTTCTTTTAGCGTGAGAGTAGTGGAAAAATGGAATGCACTTAAGGAACAGGTTGTGGAAGCAAATTCTATTCATCATTTTAAAACTAGGTATGATAGGAAAATAGGACCGTAGTCATTGCTGTAAATAACCGATGGCTCGAAAGGCAGGATCCAAGAGTCAATGCTCGATCTTGCAGACACAAATAGGTGACTACACACACACACACACACACACACACACACACACACACACACACACACACACACACACACACACACACACACACACACACACACACACACACACACACACACACAGGTGGACACAGGTGGAAACTGAGTGCCCAGATGGGCCACAGAGATATTAGAAAGAATTTTTTTAGTGTCAGAGTGGTTGGCAAATGGAATGCATTAGGCAGTGATGTGGTGGAGGGTGACTCCATACGCAGTTTCAAGTGTAGATATGATAGAGCTCAATAGACTCAGGAACCTGTGCAACAGTTGAGAGGTGGGATCAAAGAGCCAGAGCTCAACCCCCGCAAGCACAATTAGGTGAGTACAATTAGGTGAGTACACACACACACACACACACACACACTCACACACACACTCACACACGCAGTGGTACGGGGCCTCGTAGCCTGGTGGATAGCGCGCAGGACTCGTAATTCTGTGGCGCGGGTTCGATTCCCGCACGAGGCAGATACAAATGGGCAAAGTTTCTTTCACCCTAAGTGCCCCTGTTACCTAGCAGTTAATAGGTACCTGGGAGTTAGTCAGCTGTAACGGGCTGCTTCCTGGGGTGTGTGGTGTGGAAAAAAAAAAAAAAAAAAAGTAGTTAGTAAACAGTTGATTGACAGTTGAGAGGCAGGCCGAAAGAGCAAAGCTCAACCCCCGCAAAAACACAACTAGTAAACACAACTAGTAAACACACACACACACACACACAAGTAGCGAGAGATACCAGAGAACCAGGAACGAGTATGTTAGTGTGAGAAGAGCAGCTGAGAAAAGGTATGAAAATGATATAGCTAATAAAGCCAAGACCGAACCAAAGCTACTACACAGTCACATCAGGAGGAAGACAACAGTGAAGGAACAGGTGATGAAACTTAGGGTGGGCGAGGACAGGTACACAGAGAATGACAAAGAGGTGTGTGAAGAACTCAACAAAAGGTTCCAGGAGGTCTTTACAATAGAACAGGGAGAAGTCACGGTGCTTGGAGAGGTAGCAGCAAACCAGGTGACCACCTTCTTGAGATCTTGAGGTTATCTTGAGATGATTTCGGGGCTTTTTTTAGTGTCCCCGCGGCCCGGTCCTCGACCAGGCCTCCACCCCCAGAAAGCAGCCCGTGACAGCTGACTAACACCCAGGTACCTATTTTACTGCTAGGTAACAGGGGCATAGGGTGAAAGAAACTCTGCCCAATGTTTCTCGCCGGCGCCGGGAATCGAACCCGGGACCACAGGATCACAAGTCGAGGGTGCTGTCCGCTCGGCCGACCGGCTCCTCTTGGAACCATGGAAAGGTTCGAAATTACAAGAGATGAGGTCAAGAAGCACCTATTGGAGCTGGATGTGAGAAAAGCTGTTGGGCCGGATGGAATCTCACCATGGGTATTGAAAGAGTGTGCAGGAGCACTTAGCTTGCCACTCTCCATAGTGTATAGTAGGTCACTGGAAACGGGAGACCTACCAGAAGTATGGAAGACTGCTAATGTAGTACCAATATTTAAAAAGGGTGACAGACAAGAGGCACTGAACTACAGGCCAGTGTCCTTAACTTGTATACCATGCAAGGTGATGGAGAAGATTGTGAGAAAAAACCTAGTAACACATCTGGAGAGAAGAAACTTCGTGACAACCCATCAACATGGGTTCAGGGAGGGTAAATCTTGCCTTACAGGCTTGATAGAATTCTATGATCAGGTGACAAAGATTAAGCAAGAAAGAGAAGGATGGGCGGACTGCATTTTTTTGGACTGTCGGAAAGCCTTTGACACAGTACCCCATACAAGGTTGATGCATAAGCTGGAGAAACAGGCAGGAGTAACTGGTAGGGCGCTCCAGTGGATAAGGGAGTACCTAAGCAATAGGAAGCAGAGAGTTATAGTGAGGGGTGAGACCTCAGAATGGCGGGATGTCACCAGTGGAGTCCCACAGGGCTCTGTGCTTGGACCTATCCTGTTTCTGATATACGTAAATGATCTCCCAGAGGGTATAGACTCATTCCTCTCAATGTTTGCTGACGACGCCAAAATTATGAGAAGGATTAAGACAGAGGAGGACAGCTTGAGGCTTCAAGAAGACCTGGACAAGCTGCAGGAATGGTCGAACAAATGGATGTTAGAGTTTAACCCAAGCAAATGTAATGTAATGAAGATAGGAGTAGGAAGCAGGAGACCAGATACAAGGTATCACTTGGGAGATGAAATACTTCAAGAGTCAGAGAAAGAGAAAGACCTGGGGGGTTGATATCACGCCAGACCTGTCCCCTGAAGCTCATATCAAGAGGATAACATCAGCAGCATATGCCAGGTTGGCTAACATAAGAACGGCCTTTAGAAACTTGTGTAAGGAATCTTTCAGAACATTATATACCACATATGTCAGACCAATCCTGGAGTATGCGGCTCCAGCATGGAGTCCATATCTAGTCAAGCATAAGACTAAACTGGAAAAGGTTCAAAGGTTTGCCACCAGACTAGTACCCGAGCTGAGAGGTATGAGCTACGAAGAGAGACTACGGGAATTGAACCTCACTTCGTTGGAAGACAGAAGAGTTAGGGGGGACATGATCACCACATTCAAGATTCTCAAGGGAATCGACAGGGTTGATAAAGATAGGCTATTTAACACAAGGGGCACACGCACTAGGGGACACAGGTTGAAACTGAGTGCCCAAATGAGCCACAGAGATATTAGAAAGAACTTTTTTAGTGTCAGAGTGGTTGACAAATGGAATGCATTAGGAAGTGATGTGGTGGAGGCTGACTCCATACACAGTTTCAAGTGTAGATATGATAGAGCCCAATAGGCTCAGGAACCTGTACACCAGTTGATTGACGGTTGAGAGGCAGGACCAAAGAGCCAGAGCTCAACCCCCGCAAGCACAACTAGGTGAGTACACACACACACTGGAGAATGCTGACCGTGCCCCATTCATTAACAATTCGCCCAAGTTCATCCTGCAGTAATTGGTAACCTGGTTGTAAATAGATAGGTGGGTGGTGTTCCAGGGGGGAAAACAAATGGGTAAGGCTTACCATGAGCTACAGGGAGACAAACCTCTCAGCCTGCTCACAGGAGTCAGAAGGCGTCTGCTCCTGTACTTACCTGTAAGTGAGAGAGGTAGAAAGGATGGGAGAGAGGGGAGGGGGGGGGGGGGCTTGAGAGAGATGATAAAGATTGAGGGAGATGAAAGAAGTAGAAGAGTTTGAGGAGGGAAAGAGATGTGGGATGTGGAACAGGAGTAAAAAGATGTCATTGTCACCATGTATAATGACAAGCTCCCTGTCACTCACCTTGTATAATGACAAGTTACCTGTCACTCACCTTGTATAATGACAAGTTACCTGTCAGGTTAATTATGTCACCTGAAATAAACATTTCTTCACTATTACCCGGTAAGAAATGTTGTATAAATAAGTGGTCAGAATCCATAAATTCACTAAGAGCCAAGAGTGATAGTTCCTGTGGGCCAGTGTGGCCAGACGTCCCTGTGGGGCTGGCTGGCTCCCGAGTAAATCCCACACTAAATTGGTAATAAAGTCAGTTGCTTTCTGGTTTTGTGTCGAGGATCAGTCTGTTGTGGCTGGCAGGCGGCCTCCACCACGCCAACTCCTGGCTACTTATTACTGTTTTGTTTAGTAGTTAGTTACTAGTTATTGTTATTTTTGGGCTAGTTGTTAGAGTTTGGACTTAGACCTGAACAAGTTGTGTACTACTCTACGTCATTGCTTATCTTTAAGTAAACCCAACCTAACCCAGGTTAATCCAATCCAAGTAATTCTAACCTAACCCAACCCAACCTAACCCAATCTAACCCAACCCAATCCATTCTAACCTAACATAACCTAACCCAACCAACCATAACCCATCCCAACCCATTCTAACCCAGCCTAACCTAACCCAACCCAACCTAACCCAACCCAATACATTCATAACCCAACCCAACCAACCCTAACCCAAACTAACCTAACCCAAGTGAACGTAAACAATAGAGGCGATAAATTGTTGTTGTGTATAAGTTGTGTACAGGGCGGGTGAGGTTGGTGTGACGTCACAATGTACAGGACTCGGGTGTTGGAGGCTCCTGTGTGTGTGTGTTCTGCAGGTGTTTATTGTGTGTCTCAGCGTTGTGTAGTATATTAATGATGACGTCATTATTATTCCTGTCGCCGCCCTGGTCGTCGTCGTCGCCCTGGTCGTCGTCGTGGCCCTGGTCGTCGTCGTGGCCCTGGTCGTCATCGTGGCCATGGACGTCGTCGTCCCACTGGTCATCATCGTCGCCCTGGTCGTCGTCGTGGCCCTGGTCGTCGTCGTGGCCCTGGTCGTCGTCGTGGCCCTGGTCGTCATCGTGGCCATGGATGTCGTCGTCCCACTGGTCGTCATCGTCGCCCTGGTCGTCGTCGTGGCCCTGGTCGTCGTCATGGCCCTGGTCGTCGTCGTGGCC